TACGTAAGAATTCAGCGACCCAGTCACTAGTTGAGAGAGGAACTTGAAGAAAGTCAAAAAATCTTTCAGATTGAGACACATGCACAGGAGTAGGTTTTTGTACTCTCTCCAACGTAGCAGTACAAAAAGTCCTAACTTGCCTCTAAATACTGACCGCTGACAAGGAAAAACACGCGCAAGCGCACACACACAGGCACAGGGAAATCAGAAGCTCCAAAGGCAGCGGACACTCGGTGGGGAGGGCGGAGCGAGTAAGAAAAACACGAATTTCGATGAAATTCCTAAGGCTGGTTTTTTGCCCTTAGCTGCCCCGTCTTCCTCTGCGACAGGTATAAAGATAGGTGGTCAAGTTGACGAGATTCTGAGGGACAAACTTCGTTCTCTGTTACTCGTGGAACTATCCGCGTAATACAGACTGCTCACGGCTTTCTTCATACAATAACTCTAATTTAAGTACAGCTCTACCTCTCAAGCATCCCAACTTAGAGTTCTGCTATCTACATCTGTACCAATCTTGTCAAAGACTGGAATTTCAGCGGATTACTTTCATGGCATAGGATCCCTTGTCCTTAACGTCAGGAGGATAGATACTACTTTCGCTTAATAAATAAGTAGATAATGCGATTGCCTAAGGAGGAATTTCTGAATTCTTTTTTTTGTATATGCACAGCTCAATTCAGTCCCGACGTAACTGCGAGACGCAACTTCCGAAAAAAAATTTGCTGACAAATACCAAGCTATAGCATCAAATAAAAGCCAAACACAAGAGGCAAAAGGAGTGTAAATGTAGTTCCTTAGAAGAAGTTTCGATAAAAAGGCAGATTAATGAATTTTTTTGTCTTGCGTTGAATTTTTGCGGGCGTCGAAAGATCAGTTGCAAAACAAATTGTTTTCCTAATTCCATTCTCTCGTTTATCTTCAAAGGAATCGTGAAAAGTTTTTGCACACAAAACTAGAATAAACAATAGCAAGCTTTTGCTAAGGAAATCGCAAAAATAAAATTCACTCCGAGTTTTTACGCTCTGACTCGGAAATCTCGAGACTGCATTAAATGAGGGAATAAATGGAATGGATGTTTGGCAATGGAGTTATACATTATTTTTCAAAGGAAAACCAATACTTTTAGGGATAAGTGGGCCATAATCTGTGGTCTGAGTGAGCTGTGCGCTTTGCGAATGGCAAACAAGCTGCATTTATTGAGTCTGTCTGTAGTGACTCTCCCGCGAAGGGATTTGGAAGTGCTGATGCTGGTTAAAATTGTCATCTTACCAGTGATTCAAATTCATAAACGAATGCAAACAGCATCCATTCACTACCAGTGGAATTCTTCCCGCATCAAAAGCGAAGCCATGCACGTAACCGCGCGGCATGAAGTGTTGAAGGCTTTGCGATGCTTCGCATATGGAGCAGAAAAGGATATTTGCAACTAGCCGAGTCCTAGCTGCACTACTAACGATGTGGTTGTTACCCAAGCCTACATGCAAACACACACTATCATGCAGTGTATATCCATTCATCTTCCCCACGGTGTCCTTTTCTGCCGAAAAAAGGCAATGGCATGATTACGTTTCAAAGAACTGTCCAGTATCCAATCACATTTGGGCGGATTTGCGTCTGAAACACAATGTATACTTGGCACTATCCATTGTCACCCTTGGGACGAAGAGAAGATGCAAGGATGTAACTCAAGATGGCCAAAAGAAACAATACTACACCCATTTGTGAAGTTTTCATTCGCATCGTTTCATTTGTTGACAATAGCTTAGACGTCACAATGTGTCCTTTGGACAGTGACTAGTGGCTTTGTTCAGTAGCTGCATTCACAGCTCATCCAACGTTTGCGTGGTTAAGCGCCAGTGAACGCGTCGGTCCAAACTCAGTTTCCATAAGTTGACGTGATCGTAGCTTAGTCAATATTAAGTTGTTTAGCCGAATTTGCAAGAATGTTATGCAATTAAAGTAGATGTATAAAAAATGAGCGGAAAATGATCTTGTTCACCTCATTCCTCATTGAATTTAGTCAAAGAGCAATCGTGCTTTCCACATGAGCGCTAAAGCGTTCGTATTAATACATCGATACTACTAAAACCTTCCTAAAGTCACTTTTGAGTAACTGTAGGTGTCATCTACCTTTAGCCAATCGTTAAAAGAGAAGACAGTTTGGATAAACTTATCTGTGTTTAATCGAAAAATGAAGTTTGCATCAAGTAACGTGACATGCTTACTAACATAACATCTCATAACTACTACAACATAATCCAAAATTGACTCTGACCAAAATCTAAACCACCAGCACCTCTATCGTCTCTTTGATTGGAATCCCACTGTCATGATGTCCTGCATATACTTAGGTTTGTTCGTAATGGTATGCCCATCGCAGTGGTTGTAAATGACACCTTGGAGTAGAAAGGGGTCCTACGTGTTGATTTTTTGTCAAGCTGTTTTATTCAAACCAGAGATCACCTAAAATTTAGTGCTCTCCAGGTTAGGTTTAAGTGCTACTTCGAGCTTCGACTACACCAAATAACTCTTGCAAATCTCAGTTGCTATAATCCAGGCAAAGCATACCAACATTTGTCCTCTCTGAAAGAAGGCTCAGAATGTCATTTTTAAATCACTCTTACTTACGGAGAAAGTTTGTTTTTTGTGTGGATCGGATAGATTAAAAGCAAACTAGTCTTAACCTTGTTTGACGTACATTTAATAAGCAAAGAGGCAACCAAATTTATAGTAATCATTATGCCAATATGACCGTAAAGAGGCCTTCCCCAACATTTTTCGTGTTTCTAGTTTTCACCACTCAAGACGCTGAACCATGGGTAAGTAGTATGCGCGAGCAATTCATCATCAAAGTAAAATTTAGCCAACGTCGGTATGCATATTTTTATAGCAGCATATTTAAGTGATGGTTAAGTGGTTTACAAACTTTTAAGCGTTTGGTGTAAAATTACTGTGAAGAAGATCAAAAGCACCCTTCGGTTTCATCAGTATAACGCTTATCACATAGCGATTATCTAAACTTTTTCTCTGCCAAGCATCCAAATTACAAATTATGCCATTAATGTGCACCTGCAGCATGAAAAAATTACCCAACCTGTTTTTTGTCGCAAAAAGGTGGCTTTGTTCCGAGTGATGAGCAAAATTTGTCTGCTCCAAACACGTAAATGTAGCATCCACCTCTGGATGGTGGCTGGTCCAGATTATGCTTTTATACAACGGTATCTACAAACTGCGTAACCATAATAATGTACTGATTTGGAGAAAAAGTTCACGTTAAGGAATCTTGAAGGTCCTGGAGGTTACCTCAACTTGTCACGCATCAATCTGACTGCTTAGATTTACCACCTCTTTGTTCTGGTTACATAGTGAGTAAGTCAAGCTCACACTAGGTCGCCACGCAATAGCCGACAGCAATTATTATCACCTTCTTGTTCACAAGGGAGTCGCAAAAATAACTGCAATAATCATTCGTTAATTATATAGTTAAAAGACCTAAGTTGAGTTGACAGAGATAGCTTTTTGTAATTTTAGGCTTGGTGCATCTCACGATTAATCCGTTAAAGTTTGTCAAGAGTCAGGCGACAGATAGAAACCAGCCTTCCATTTAAAATTAATATAATGGTATATCTAAAGCTCAGAATGAAATGCAGCAAAGTTTCTACTCAAAAATTGCAGTTTTTTAATTTTTACTACTTTGGGCTCTACTAACAATAGGAACCTTTAGATCTCCCATTCAATGGAAAACTTTCAAATATTTTATTTCCGCTAGGATAGTATCAGTATTGCTATGGCTGCAGGATCATCGCTGCTAACACTACCAATAAAAATAATGACGAGGCAACTACCATTATCGTGGAAAAATCTCTGCAAAACCCACTATTTCCAAACGGATAGGTGCGCGTTGCTTACGCGTAATAATGTGGAGGTGAAGAACCCAAAGGCAAGATGTTATCGTGCATCCCGTTCTCCTCCCCTTCCCTCCAAGTTCATCCATTGCTGATCTTTTAATCACTTCTGCTGGTGGTAGCTAGGTGTGTGGTGGTTTGGCATCCACCCAAAGACCTAAGACTTGAGTCTATCTGGCGATATCTCTAACCAATTATTTGCCACCTTTGTCGAATAATTATGCAGATAACTTCGTATATTATCTATCTACGGCCAAAGTTTAAGGGTCAATACTAGTACAGTGGACTGAGAAGTACGAGGATAGGGGCAACAAGGGGAACAATAAAGTGACAAGTCGTTAAGAGCGTTTTAATGAGGACATTTATTTTCCGCAACCATAGATTTCACGGAATTAATAAAAAACAATGTAACAATATGCAAAATCAGTGCTAAAACACGTAATTTTTAATGTTTTTGGGCCAAAATAAATGGTGCAAAGGCTAAATCTCCCCTTGCTAGTTCAGACTATAAAACCACATATCGGTAAACAAACCCTGTTGCAAAAAAAATTCTAGCAAGTTATTAAGCACAAATCTATTTTTTCGCAAAAAATGGTCTTTGATACATATAATCCTCATAATATTTTAAATTTGATGAATTTCTACACAATATAGGGCATAATTTGGCTGCGTGACATGATTTTAAACGATCAGGATATTTTACCATCTAGCAAGATGCAACTCAAAGGAAGCTAAGTAGTTTTCAACAAATTTTGTAAGTTCGTGTAAAATGTAACCGTTAGATTAGACCACCAAATCCCATGGCTGCCGAATGGGACATTTCAAAAATGAGTCGTTTTTCTGTGATTACAGCACACTGACCCGAAAGTAAAATGATAAGCTTAAACAAATGTATATTATTTTTGAGTTTGTTAAAGTTAACTGATAAAAGCATGACGCGAAACAGAACTTAAAAATGTTCCCATGCATAGTTTGATTTGCAATTGCTTTTAAAAGCATTCAGTCGCATGTCAATTGCAATGAAATTCCTTGAAATGAAATTCCCTTGAGATTGGCAGAAGCCGCTATTTGCGAAGGAGCACAAAAATTATCGTCTCAAAGCCTACCCTTGCACACATTGGCGTCTTCGTTGGTGGCCCTGGCCCAGGGTCGATCCAAGTAGCCGGGAGCACATCGCTCGCAGTCGGCACCGACGGTGTTGTGCTGACAGTCGCATCGTAGCGGACCCCATGAAATCACTTCCTCACCTGCGGAATTCTTCTCCACAATCCGATCCCTCACGCAACGATTGGCATGACCATTGCATTTGCACCTGCCTCCGACAGTGATATCGGAGAAGGCAAAATAAACTGCATCCTCTTCCTCAACTTTCTCCCCCTCTGTCTCCTCGTCTTTCTTCTTTTTCTTATCGTGAAACCACCTAGTCGAGCTATTCGATGAACTCCCATCAGCTTGCATTCGTTCCTCGTCAGCACGAATGAATCGACCATTACTTCCACCCCCTCCTCCAAGTCTAAAGACTGGAGCCTTTTGTGAAACTCTGCGTAGTCCGCTGCTTCGATCCCGTCGATGGAGGACCACTGTGGGATCTCCGGAACCCCTTTCGCCTCCGACCGACTTACGTCTTGAAGAGAACCGTGTTAGACTGATTTGGAGATCTGTCATTGTCATCCAGTCGATTAGCGCTGGACTCCATGATTGCAGGGTGGATCGTCCAATGGTTGTGCTAAAAGCAATCACATTTGATGCCTGACCCTGGGAGTTGTACTTTGTAGGGGACTTCAGCGCTACACAGAGGACCTCTTGGATGTTTGCTGATGAAATTTGTGCACTATACTCGTTGGAAGTTGGTAAACCGAAAGCACGGTAACAATCGGTCGAGAAGTACTGCCAAGGTTTCCAGGTTCGACCGAAATCGGAGGACTTATAGAGGGCAATGGAGTCGGGTAGGGGACTGCAGGGTTGAAGGGAGATGTAGAAAATTTCAAAACGCTTGCCCAAAGACAGGGTCAAATTTACAGTTCCCCCTGGGGGAACACGTCCAGACACCCAACAGGTCTGGTTGGAGGAAATGTGACGATCTGTAAGGCGTTCAGCTCCCCGGCTAGTTGCTGTTTTCCTCGGATCACAGATCTCGCAGGTGGTACGTCGCTGCTGACTACTTAAGGGGGTCCAACTTCTACATATCTTCTCAGGGCGTCCATCCTGGCCGCAGGTGGACGTGGCGACAACTGGAACGCCTTCAGCGATGTTAGTAAGTGGAGGGGTGCAGAGGTATGCCCGATTCTCGGCGTAACACACAGAGGTAGGAGACTCATAAATGACTTTGAAGCTGGCCTGACGGCCGTCTGAGGTGGATGAGATAGGAGTAGGCGTGTACGCGGTCCAGACTGCAGAGGTCAGGGAGAAAAGGGCAATCAGAGCGTGAAGCATTCTCAAAATCAGGTTAAGTCCATGCGCGGCAAAATATGTGGGCGCATTTAGCTCTGCCGAAGTGCTGAATGCACGCGATTGCAGCCGCCTTGATCGTCTGACCAAATGGGCAACCAATCCAGTGCGGCGGATCGTGTGCGTGCGTGCGTGCGTGCAGACGTGCATCCGTGCGTACATGTGGACATCTATTGAGGGGGTGACTTGTAGCAACTTTAATCACGACTTCGTCGTTTTTCCGGCCGATTATTTCACTCACTCTTTTACCGGTAGGTTTCTGATTAACAACCACAGGGGTTGAGAGGAAAGCTGTGCAGAACTCCATTGTTTCCTTAGCCTCGATTTTGGAATAAAAAGCCTACAGTATAAATGAACATACGCCGACTGCATTCCTGATGATTCGATGAATTCGAGGGATTCAGGTATTTCTTCATTGATGGTCCTGTTCTCTACATTAGGACAGTCCAACAATAGTGAAATCACTAATGTGGGAATTGGAATAAGTTTGTCGAGTTCTCTGTTGTTGAATGAGAAGCCTCAGTTTGGAGGACACGTTACACTCAAGAGGTGCGAACGGAAGCAGGGCTGAGGATAATGAATTCACCACATCCGCAAAGAAGTGGAGTCTTTGAGACGTTCTGCATTATTATTATGGGCGTTTTTATATCTAGTAGACTGATAAGTCCTTGTTAATTCCTTAATGGGACAGCTGTTGAAATTCACCCTTGAGCAGCAGAATTCCCTTGAAGGCAACTAGCCTCTTAATGACTGGAGCAGAGTTTCGGACTTTAAAATTGCATTATTTTGGATTTTCTTTTAATTCCTTTTTGTTCTTCAGCGTAACAGTTAAAACCTCATAACCTAGCATTTTATCGACAGGCAAGATTAACCTTCAATCACCTGTTTTGAGGCAGTCAGATGAATAAAAACACGCAGTATTGAAAAGAAGCAAGTTTACACTTATTGAAGGCCTCCAAAAGTAGCGTCCTACCAAAAAATAACCAAATCTGCAATCTACCAAACTCTTTAACTAGTGCGAAGGGAGGGGTGAACCTTGTTATCCCACTTTGGTTTCTTAAGTTTATTCCACAATCTTCTTCACCTATCCAAGGATAAATTTTCTTAGAGGGGTATGTTCACGCCCTCCTTTTGGCCAGTCCTACTGCTCTTTTCCTTAACCAGAAAAGTTTGACGACGAGTCAAAGAGAACATCTTCGCCTTCCATTCACTGTGCAGTACCAAATAAAGCGAGACCTGGTCTTATCGTCCTAAAAATAGTGTTCACCACAGAATCGTTAGATGGGCTATAAGGTGATTGCTATAAAAACAACCGATGGTATGATTGTTTGTTTAACGAAGTTTGCAACGTAAAAGTCTCTCTCATTTCCAGTCAGTCAGTCAGCTAGTCAACAAACAATCAGCAGTTGAGGCTTTTTATAACGCCCTTAAGAACGAATTAAGGCGCATTTGAGTCGACTAGCCTTAAGACTTGACTTAATAGCAATCACCTTTCCACTTAACCCAGTTGCCGCTTTGGGCGCTACTGTTTACCCTCAAAGCCATACTCACTACTTATTTGCTCATCAGCGACACCTACTTCCTTTGAGTTCTTTAGTTGGAGGTCAAGCCTCTTGACGGTGATGCCCCTCACTCTGATAGATTTAGTACCATGATCCAAAGTTGAACCTCATCTTTTAAGGATGAATCTTTTGCCATAGAACAGAAGGGAATTTTAGGTCGAGTCGAGCCTGAATTGGGTGTTCCAGAGCCTCAGAAATGGCGTCACGACAAAAAATTGAACTTTACGCCACTACCTCGCACTTAAGAGAAAGCTAATCTCTAAATTGATGGACTCTAAAACACGCATCTCTTCCTTAAATCATGAAACCTGAACACATTTTAACCAAAAATGCCAAAGATTGGCTATCCGACACCTCGACTTATTTGACATTCACATGGCAGTGGCTAAAATTATCGTCAGAGAGGAAGCAAAACATGACGATCTTGAAAATTCATGATTATGCTGATGTTGGAGAAGAGACGAGCTAAAGGTTGCTAAAAAACTAATTGTGAATTACAGCGGTAAGTTAGGAAGAAGTAAGGTATTTAAAGATGTTGGACAATTTTTCCCCTCAATTGAGGTTAAAATGCTAAGCCGATGCATCCAAACGCACATTAATTACCATCGACGTGAGGGGCTGCGGCTGTCAAGAGGCGTTTTCTTTACCATTTTCTCTTCTTTACACCTAATCCCCTTAAACTGGCAAATAGATCAGTCTTTGTATTTTTACCCTAGGATGAGGGTGTCGATGGGTGGCACAGAATGTACCATGGCTTGACAGTCTTGTCATGCAGTCTTCTGGCAATAAGTATCGAAAAATGCCGAGTTCTAGGGAATTTAGCGTTTGCATTAAGAATGTTTTGCTGCGCAACAAAGTTGACCCATTTCAAACTCTTGAACAATTAGGGGCGGCACCCAACGAGGGGGAGGGAGGGAGGGGATTGGCAGTACCTAAGGTCTGCCACTTGTCACATGCTTCATTTTACTCCAAGGTCACAAAAGTTAAAAATAATATGAGAGACGCCTCCAGCGAAGTGTTTTCTCACCAACCATTTGGGCAAAATATCAAGGTCAATAAAAGTGTACTTTTTAAAATGGGTAATTGCAATAATGTCCAGAATATGCCTCGCCTGTAGAGATAAGAGACACCCAATGGGATGGACACTTCATCGCCTAATTGATGTTTCAACTCCGTTCACTGCATGGCCACATCACAGCGATTGACGCGGAGTGCGAAGCGTCGTGCGCCCACTCCATCAAGTCGGCTAGTTAAGTTGAGGGAACGGTTTCACCGGTATTTCATTTCTGGACAAAGCTAAGACAAAATTTGGCAAAACGGAAGAAATTTGCATTTTGGAGTAAATCTTTCACCTATTCAAAAGGTGCAGTCATGTCGATGGCAATTTCGGTGGTCTGGAGAAGCCTCCACCGCTCTTGACTAATTTGAAGCCTAATTACAGCCTTAAAAATAAAAGGATTTTTGGCCACAATAACTCGGAAATCCCACAGTGATTATGCATTAATTAGACTTCTTTGAGTATTGTTCTCATTACTGCCTCGGTGTTACTTCAATTTCTCAGCAAGTTTTGTCGATTTTAAGGCTGAATTGCTCCTAACTGTGGCCTAGAAGGTGGCATGCCCTAGTGACCGGGCTTCAGTAAGTTGGATGACATTTTCTTCGCCCCGTGACCCGCCACCACCTGAGGTGCGGAGAAATGTTGTCTAATTCAGATGGGAGGCTATTAGACCGGTGAATGATGAGAGGTGGATAAGGGACCCCTTAATTAGTACAAAAGCAGGTGATGCTGGGTTTCAGCGGTTTTTAGACCTCGCAGTGGAATTCCTAAAGCACCTTCAAATAGTGGTCAATGTGAGTGAAGTTTTCCGAAATGGGTTTATTTGTCTTTAAAATCAGTCAGGCATGGTGATTTATCTTTGAAAAACGTTAAGATACAAGGATTGTAAGGGATTGTCTGTGTCCACTTCGGTCGTGTCACATCCTGCCATTACGAAAGAAGCTTTACGACGGTGATCAGTCCTGTCGTACGATTTTGGACCTAGAACAGTGATTTTCTTGCCATGCTTTGTATCACAAAGGTGGCCACACTGGTGCAATGGATGCGAAGTGCTGCAGGTGTCCATGTTCCGTGGAGGATGTGGCTTGTAGGTGATCAGCCTACAGGAAAGCAGGGTGCAAACTATGGTCGTGGAAGTTCGTTTTTACCTCGAAGGCCACAGCAAATGAAGTTGGGAAGAAGGACATGGCAAAGGAGGATAATGGTGCCGAAACATCGTGGGATACATCTCAATTCTGCCAGCTTAAAAATGTAAAAGACTCTCGGACTTCTCCCATTGGTTCTGCTTAATGGATTGCTGTGTGGTCGAGGGTGGAATGACTCGTAGCAATTAAAAATGGTCCACTTGAAGCCATCGCATCAAATTGGATTGGGTGGTGCTCTCTGAGGATGCGTTTTTTTTTCGAAAATAACGATTAGAAATCGTTCTTTAGCTTTCAAGCCCATTTGTACCAACTTCGTTTTGCAGAATTCTCCAGAAAGCGCCTCCGTAACTTATGAATGGTCGTTCACCGTCGTTATGAGCCCCTTTATTCATAATAAACTACTACTACAAAAAATGTTTTCTTTCCAAGTGCGCAGTAAGGTACTGATAATAAAAGAAGATGTCCAGCTGAGCATCACGTTGCCAGTCTCAACTGTCACAAGGATAGTCCGACATTTTTATCTATGCTAGTCTCCGTGGCCTGTAAGACCTGGCAGTCAAAATCTGTTTCCATAATGCAACAGCGATTGACACTCAAAAGCTCCAAAACTCCTTCCAACCCACAAAACCTGTTCTGTTCTGTTTAGTATTAATGCCTAACTCGTTTCACGTATTTGTGATATCAAGGTAAGCGGAGAAACAGCAGTAAATTTTGCTACAATGTAGCAGTCAACATTTTCGAAGGAGCAGCTGAATAAGAAAAAGAGACTTGATTGGCAACTTTTTATATTCACTCCAGAAACAAGGCCCGATTGTGTGCCCCAACCATATTTACATACCTTAGCACTTACTTAAATAAAATTCTGGAGGTTAGGGTGAAAAAAAGGAGAGTTACACTGCTTTACCACCTCACTTCTGTTTAATATAACTGTTGAATCACGTATTATTATCAGCTACATACTACTACCTAACTTGACCTCATCTTGTGAGTAGTATCTGCGTTGCAGGTCGTCTGATTAGCTACGACAGTAGTCAGTGCAGAATGAGGCGCAGCACTTCCAGCAAGCATAGCATTCAACATGACTTTACAAGTTTACATAGTTTACTTCCTTTTTTGGGGCTGAATATTGCTATAAAAAGTGAGTGTTTGCTTCATGGCATGTTGCTGCTTGTCAAAACCTGTCTGGAGCAGAGTGGATGCATATGCATACCTTTTTCCCCT